CAGAAGGCTACAGATGACTGAGAAAAAGATTCACCCATTGTCAGGTGAGGACTAAGTTGCAGGAAATGGATATAGGTATGTAAAAATCACAAGACTAAAACAATATGAATCTAATGATTCTTAGTAAAGAAGAAATAAGAATGTTTGAAGACTAGTTAAGAAACCTTACATAGGCAAAAGCGATTTAACAGTCAGCAATCAGCCTCTAAGCTTCTAAATCAGTGTTTCTCAACCTTGGCAATAAGCTGGGGAAATCAAGGAGCTAAAGTCTACAAATCTTAAAATTGTCAAGGTTGAGAATGACTACTCTAGATCTATGATAGTTCTTTGTCAAACACATGGATTAAATGCACTTGTTTAATTAAATTTAAGGTTTATTCTGCCAAATACTTCCAGACCCTCATTGCCTTACAATACACACAATAGAAATATCCTCAATAAATACATTTTTAAAACAATTACCCATTTAACATAATTATTATTTATAGCTATAATAATTTGTTACCTTCTCTAAACTATTCAATAGTTTCCTGGTTCTTCTATTCTCCCTTTTCAAAAGTCAGTACTATATTTACACAGCTGGTTCTTCATCATTTTTCCAGGATTTCTCAGAGATCATCACTTCATTAGTTCACTCTTAGGATGCAATTTATCTCTCCCGCCCCCAAGATTTAAATTTGTTCCAAGTAAAAATCACTAGTTCCTTATTATTTTTCTATCTGTCTCAAGCATCAGTTCTGCCCCTTTTTTCTATTCCTCATAATTTCCTGGTGGAACATAGACTTCCTTCTTGGACAAGATTGAACCAACAAGTGTTGTCTATTGACTTTTTCTTTGTTATTTTTTTTAATGTATTTAAAGATTTTTTTTTGTTACACAAGCATCCTTTACCAACTTTAGCTCACTCTGAATTGTATTATGTGTAGTGACTATCTCACATCAACAAGATAAGTATTTAGATCCAAGTACTAATGAGCCCAGTGCCGTACACTGAGTTCTCCACACATTAACTATCCATCCCAAATGCAAATAATTCCTAATGCACTTACATATAAAAAGAATTAAAGGTTTCTGTTGTCCAGTTGTGATCAACTCAATGGGGCAGTGCTCAACTCCAATTCTCAGCCTAGGGAGCTGTGTTGTCTGAGAAGTTTCCATCAATGTGTAGCCAGCATGAAAGTATGAACACAGTAACTTTTCCTGCCAAAGTGGTACCTATTTATCTACTTTCATTTGCATGCTTTCAAATTGGCAAGAACTAGGGTGAGAACAGGAACTCACCCCATTGCTTTCCAGCTAACAAGTCCAGCATCTTAACCACTGATTCATCGTGCCACTCCTTTGTATATACAAAATTTTGTATATACAAAATACATTTATCCACTATATTCACATTATTCACAGTCCCATATGTATTTAGCACAGTATTGAATACCCATGGAACACTTTCAGTCAATAAATACTAAATCTAAACCAGATAGTAAATAAGCTCTGAGAACACCAAGCAATTCTCTGCTTTAATATTACCAATTATAGCTTTAATGCAGAACATTGGGAGTAGACTAAATTCTAGTTCCTAGCTAACTACATATTTTCAAATAAAAGTCAGGAAAGCAAGTGTTCTTGAAAAAAAAAAGCAGGAAGGGAATTTTGTGTGACTAGTAATGTTATAGACTCAGAGAAGGCAGAGTAAGAGATAAAGAGGGAACACAGGAGAAATTCCTTACTATATTTCACTATCTAGAAAGTCAAAACATTGTGAAATGTGTAGTCTTAATGCAACTGAAGTTAAATTTCCAATATCTCTTCTCATTGGCTCACACTCTGATTCACAACTCCCACCATCTCTTAAATTGTTCTGTTTTGATATCTGGGCAAATGCTTGCTTATGATGGGCATAATTTAAGTTCAATTAGTCCCTTTTCTTGAGTATTGCAGAGACACCTTCTGTGTATGTGCTTCTCTATTCAGGAAATCTGAATACATCTCTGATTGTACTTAAATATCAATGTTGATTTTGGGTTATCTATCCTGAAGTCCATTAACAGTTTATATTGACACACACACTTTTGGCATGTTTTTGATGCAGATACTTAATCTGTTTCCTTGATTGATAGGGCAACACTTATTGATTGCTAATTGTTCAACACATTGCTTCACCCCCATAGAAGAAAAGCTGCCCACTTATGAACTTGTAATCTTGTCTGTGTATTGCCCAGTCAATGTTTATTTAACTTATCAGTTAGGAATTGACACTGGCTGAAAGCCTGAATGCTAGGTGTGCTCTGGTTTAGAAGTGTCTGTCCAGCTTTAACTGCAAATGAGACCCTCAGTTTGGTGTACTGAACTTTCTACAAAAGACACAGATGGCTGCAAGTCTTCTTATTCTGGCTATCTATACTAGATTTCCAAATCCAATCCTGTAATGATGAGACTCAACTAAGGGCTTGTTGTTTTTTGTTTGACCATAAGTTTCCATTGGCATAGTGACCTCAGTGATTTCAATCTACCCCCCCCAAAATAGGTGTGGGGGGGAGGACAGCAATTAAGAAGAGATAGCAGGCCCAAAGCCAAGAATGAAACATAGTGATTCTTCCGTACTGATCTTTAATGTTTCACTGATCTTCACAAAATCTTACCAGACTGAGCAGTCTACTATCTACATCTACTCCTTGCTTTCAACCAACAAATTTCCAGGCATCTTCTCTGTTGTTTTGTCTCCCAAAGCTGTTTTGTAAACCAAGGAGTTTATTTGAATCAGCGTAGATGGGGAGGTCTTGGGAGGTATAATCCTGTTCATAGTTGAAGCTACTTCCATATTCCATACATAACTAAATCCCCAGCAAAACTATATAACATGACTTTGGGAAAAATCCCAAACATCCTCTGGAAATCACAAGGGCTATCAAGTGCCTGAGTAGACTTATCTAATTCAGCTATCCTCCTTATGGATCTTGGTAATAATGGTCAGTTCCATGGCAATCAGACAGAGATTTGACCATTATAAAGGTCAGGTATTAAGATCATGTCACTTCTGCTCCAGGATATAAAAAAAGCAGATCTAATGTATTCCTTCCTACAAAAATTGGAGCCCTGAGGATCCCAGGCAAGCCCTTGTTTGTCAAGAAGACCATGAACTCACAACTCACCATTTCTCATTTCTGCCCTAGAGGAAGCGGGTTAAAATTCCAATACAAGCAAGCTAGAGAAATCTGTTGTAAATCCTGAAACAGTTCTAACAACACATGTAGAGGGTAGTTAGCAGCACTTCCAACTTCTCCCTGTAATTCAACTTCACAAACAAGGCCCCACATCTATTTAATTGTGAACCAGTGCTTGATAGTAATAACCATTCTATATCCCCTACCTGGTTTCTCCTGCCTTGCATTTATGAGTGGGATGTGCCCTCCATCTATGCTGGTCTTGGTAAGACAGGGCAGGTCAGCCTCTAGTCCATGCTAAGGTTAAGTAGAGATGTATTATAGGTAGATGTAGCCTTATCCAGAGGCAGCCTAATCTCAGGGTCTTTAAGGACTTGGCAATCTAGCTTCTGAGTTTTGATATAGATAATAGACCAGCTTCTAAGACCACTTTTATCTATAGCATGATTGAAGCAAATACTCTGTTTTCCTCTGTTCAAAAAAATAAAAAAGGAGGAGTGGGAGGAGGCAGTACAAGATTGCAGGAAAGCTTTAGAAAATAAAATCACATACCAATCCCCTTTAGTGCAACAATTTGAAACTGGTATGAAAAAGCAGTAGGAGATCAATTGAAAAGTCGATGGAAAATTACTACTAGATGGTAGAAAGATGTTCCAAATGACAGCTTTCCCTTTGTGTGAGCGGGGGGTCCTTCTTTTCTCACTCTAGATTGGAACATCACCAGAACAAAAAGGTGCACTTCAAAATAAGCTCTCAGCTTTTTTGGCGTATGCAGAAACCTAAAAGATACTATTATACATATACTACATGGCAAAGCATGCAATTTATTCTTGCCATAGTTCCTAGTTAAGGTAGGATGAAAGGGTGATGGATGATACATGGATACGAAATTCCAGCCAATTGTCCTGAACAATACCCTCACACATACGTGGATGCCCGGTAAATGAATTGTGTTAAGGGTAAATTTAAATTTTGATTAAGACAAGAAACAGATTAAATTTATGTCTATGGACATCTTTGGTTGTGTTCCAGCAGTACATTTGAGATTTGAGATCTCCAGTGTATGCACTCAGTAAAACAGCCATAGGAGGTCTTAGCTTTGTAACTCTCCACATGTACTATGTTATCATCATATTTTTAAGAATAAAATTTGAAATGAAAATGAAGGCAGGACAAAAACAATGGGGGGAGCTATCAGATAGAAGCAACTAGGACTAAGGAAAATGTCCTGAAGTTAAACTATTATCCAGGGAACACCTGCCTCCAGAGTTTGAATGCTCCAACCTGAAGTTTTTTAAGAAGAACTGGACAGCCATTTGTCTAGATGATATAGGGGTTCGTCCCTGAGCAGGGGTTTGCTGTATAATGCCTCCAAGGTCCCCTTCCAACTTATTATTATCGATCATCGCACAGTCAGCCAGATGTTCAGACTGGATTTGGCATTTTGTCTACCTATCGAGTCCTTACCCAGGACCTGGGATAGGCAGATGTGGATGTTTGATGGTATTACAGATATCGTCGCAGGATGGAAGCAGGTTCCTAGTAAGGCCGCCTTTTGCAATTGACTAATGGTTGGATTAGAAGCCTTCTAAGGTCCCTCCCAACTCTATATTATTATTATTATTATTATTAATTACTCTATCTTTGGCTGTAAGAAGTGGCTTGTAATTTAGATGATCCTATTCTAAACATTTGTCTTGATAAGTCTTTTCGGTAGGATACAGCTTGAACATTCTATAAGGTATCTTTTATCAGGTAGTTATTTGGATATGCTTGTGTTCAACACAAACACAAATCCAAATCAAAACAATGCCAGCAACAATTTTGCTCATTTTTCAGCTTGATGTTAACACAGCGGTATCAAACTGCAGGCCCGCAGACCAGCTGCATCATACGAAGGCCCCGCCCATCCCAGCTCCGGCAATGCAAAAAAAGTGAGTTTGACACCCATGTGTTAACACATGCATAGTTCTTTGCTTAACTTTCAAAACTAGTCATGTTCTCTACAAAAACAGATAATAACCCATAGCACATATATAACATCTCAAGATAGTGGAGCAAGATTATACCTTTATTTGCATAAGAAGCTAAATTTAAAAGTGACTGTTCTGGCTTTAGTTTTGGGCAGTGTATAAATCTAGCCAATGATAAATTATTCAATAAATCTCAGTTAGTAATCCATTGCATTTTATGATATGTAAAACTGGTGTTCCTTTCCATAATTCATGGATTAATGTAGCTTTTGTGATACTTTTATTTGGCCTTTGACCTAATTTTAAGAAATCCCTTTGCAGATAATCAGATCAGATCACTGGTAAGAGTTATTGTCCCCATAGCCTATTGCAAAAAATAGGGTACAGGTCAGTAATGATGAACAAATAATGAATCAGGTTTGAAGGTCAATTCTGAAGGAGCAGGTCAGAACCAAGAGGCAGCCCCCAAAAAACTATTAGGGCAGCACATTTTGGAAACTGGTCAACAACATACAAAATCTGGCAAAGTGTCAGAGAAAATATGCAAAACAGGTTAGGGCTTGGCTATCTGCAGCAATATCTCTCCCAGTAAGAACCTATTTGATTATTTAGAAGAGAAGAAAAGGTCCTGCTGAAAATACCCTCAATTGTCAAAAGTTCCATTGTCTATATATAGGGAAAGGAACTTCAGTTGTATGGTTCCCAGGCTATAAAGGCCCTCTTCATAAAGTTGGTCCCCAACTCTCCCACTGTTTTGGAAGTTAGTTAAAACATAGCATTTATGTCAACATTTCTCGTTAACAATGAATTTATTGTAAGATGTAAAAGGAGAATGTTTTTAATGATGCTAATTTGTTCATTTATTGTTGTAAGATATTTCGATTGTCAGAAAGCTACAGAAGAATATAAATAAATAAGAAATTGGTAGTAGAGAAACTATTTAGACATCTGCATTTTAGGAACATTATCAGTTCAATGCTGATTGTTGTTGTTAATTGCGAAGGCGTGTCTAACCCATCGCGGCCCCATGGACAATGTTCCTCCAGGTCTTCCTGTCCTCTACCATCTTCTGGGGTCCATTTAAGTTCATGCCTACTGCTTCACTGACTCCATCCAGCAATGCTGATTAGAGAACCTAAAAATATTTATGCGATAGAAAGCTGGATACAAAAAAGAGAAATGTTCATGTTGATATTTTGTTTTTTCTTAATTAAGTTGACATGGAAATTGGATGGTAATGTAAAGACATCTGAGTGAATTTGTGAAACCCTGACATGGACCAATTCATTTGGCCCTACAGTTAAGTTTGCACAAAATAGCTTCACTCAAAAGACACACAGATGACAAATCTCTAAAGAATGCTGTCTGGTTTCATTGTAAAAAAAAGAAAACCAGCAATATTTCCACCATCTCTCTCACCCTCTTTTTCAAGAGAGGAAATCCAAATGTGAAATACTGCCTTTGCTTTGGGTCTCCATGGAGACAGTATAAACACATCTGCTTTCTTGTGAAGGATGAAAGCACCCTGCACAGAATTTATAATTGAAAGGAATGAAAGACATTATTATTTCATGCTAAAACATTTCACTGACAGGATAGAGAGAATTCAGCTGAATGTTGTAGGAGTTGGTAATGGTGCAGTGTTTTGGGGCTATCATTTCCAACAATAAAGGCCCCAAGCTATAGGTTCTAAAGCATTGCCACATTAACAGTTGGAAAGTCTGGGCACAATGCACCCAACATTTAATTGATATCATGAAAAGAAAACAGGACACAATGTCCTTTCTCTTACTGCTGAAAGTTAAAATGGCTTCACAACAGTATTCCCTTCTCCAAATATAACTGGGCCATTGCCTTCCTACTGAGCAGGCTATTGATGGCTGCTGTCCTCTTTATACATTTACCTGGGAACATGTCTCATTGAGTTCAGTAGACTTACTCCTTATTTTATGCTAAATTAGGGAGGAAGATGCAAAGTCAGAATTAATGTATTTGACAAATCATAATGGTCTGGGCACACATTACACTAAGTCACAAAGAATGAGTTCACCAATCATATTAAGCCAGAGTGGCATTCCATGGCTTAATGGCTCACATGCCCCCATTCCAATTTAGCTATCTCCTAGAACCCATTAAGAGACCCAGTTTGGTATAGTGATTAAGGCATCAGTCTTCCAATTCTTTTAACCATTAGCCATAAAATTTAGGCACCAAGCCCTTCACAGTTTTTCCACTTTTCCCAGTTCCTCAGCTTTTATCTTGAATTGAGAAGACCATATTTTCCTTTAAAAGATGTTTTGGGCAATATGATATGTATATAAAAAGAAAACCTATTAAAAATTAAAGGCAGACAGAATTTTTAGCCCTGCCCATTGTTAGTACATCACCAAATCACCACCATGTCACCTTGTGATGCTTGAAACCAAAAATAAAGGCAAAGTCAAAATTACATGTTCTGGTAAAAAGATGTTCTCCAACTATGTGTTAATTCAAAATTAATCTGTTTAGATAACATAACAAGCCACATTTAAGCAAACCACATTCCATTACAAGGTGAATACAGTCATCCTCCTTCTCCTTCTGCTTCTCCTTCTTCTCCTCCTCCTAATCATCATCATCATCATTATAATAATCATCATCATCTATATTTTAGCAATCTACCCATTTGCTTATTTTCTTGTCCTTGGGGTGTGATTAGTATTGCAAAATTATAATAATGAATTCCTCATTGTGTTTAAAAGTATAGCATAAATCTCAGTTTAAATTTTTAAATAAATTACAAAATTAGTAATGTTTAAGGAGAGAAGCTATTTAATCACATGTTCAGATGTGCATTTAAATCAAGAACTGTGCATATCATTGCTTAATCTTTTCCCTATTTTAAAGTTTCAGCCTTCTGTCCTCCTCCACTCACAGACCTTCTCAGAACAATTGTTATTTAGTTGTATATTTATACACATCACTGCACATTCATATTTATTACAGAAATATCTTCTTAAGTAAGTAGAAATACCAGAAAGTCAGGCAAATGATGGAACTAATACATCATTCAGTTGTGACATATGATTCCTGCTTTCCTGGAACTAGCTTTCTAGACTGTATCATCTAATTAATCTTGTTGTCCAACAAAACCAAGATAGTGATAAACAACATTGAGGCAATGGCTCTAGACAGCAATAATAGGCAGCTAAAGTAGATAGTAGTAATAAACTGCTTCTGTAGATAACTTCGACCCTGAAAAACAATGGATGGAAAAAGCGATCACCTCAAGCTGCATTTCCATAAATTTTGAGTGATGGTCTCTCACTTTATGCCCATCAGGGAACATAAAGTTTATACTGAGCACTGGGTAACATAACAACTTTAGAATTGGAAAGGGTGAATGTATATGTGATCTGAAATCAGGGTAGGTTTTAAGACACAACAGTTTTAAGAGGCAGTAGCTAGGATGTTTAAAAGAGAGTTGATCATAAAGAATGAAATTTGTATCTGGGCATAAAACTTTAATCAAGACCAAGTAGGTAAAATTAACTGGGGAATTTAAAGGGAAAAGGCATAATGGTGCACACTTTAAAACTTCTGAAAGCAACCATTGGTGATATCTTTTTGTTCAATAGATATTGTAGAATAAGATTTCTTAAACTATGTTCCATGGAGCACCTCAATCTTCTAGAACAGTGGTTCTCAACCTGTGGGTCGAGACCCCATTTGGGGTCGGACGACCATTTCACGGGGGTCGCCAAACAACGCAGTCCGCCATTTTTTTCCCCTTTTCCTTAGCTGTGCTACTCCCTTTTATTCTATTGGCTTTTGAAAGCCAATAGAATAGACTCTCTTAAATAGAGTCCAATTCTATTGGCTTTCAAAAGCCAATAGGAATTGTCTAGGCTGTCTCTGCCCCGCTGAGCCCGCCAAAAGTCCCATTCTGCAAACGGTGCTGCACCAGTTGAGTAGTCCTCGACTTACGACCGGTTGAGTAGTCCTCGACTTACAACCGGTTGGGGGTCGCGGCATTAAAAAGGTTGAGAACCACTGTTCTAGAAGATGTTCTGTGAGCTCCTTTAAAGGGATTGATGCCTTAATATCTGTTCCTTCAACACTGGAAGTTTTTAAGAAGAGACTGGACAGCCATTTATCTGAAATGGTATAGGGTTTCCTGCCTGAGCAGGAGGTTGGACTAGATGACCTCCAAGGTCCCTTCCAACTTTTATTATTATTATTATTATTATTATTATTATTATTATTATTATTATTACATTGTTATGAGAAGTCTTTTCATTAAACTAAAATCAAATATCAAAATAGACTGAATATTATAGCAATTCTAAAATATTGTTAAAATATCACACTTCAGACATTGAAAAAATCATATGCATGTTCATAATCATTAATATTTGTAAAAGAAAAGCTATTGTTAGACATGTTTTATTTCAATGCTACATTTATTTATTTTAAAATTAAACAGGTGTGCCTAATCCTCATTTAAAAAGTTTAGTCTTTCATGATCTTAAAATAACTAATAGCATTATTATAATGGGTGTATTTCTTAAATTGACTGCATTAAGCAACTTACCTACTTTAGTACTGAAAAATGTAATGAGAAGTTAGTGAGAATGGAATGTTTGGTAGTACAGATTTCATCTCTACTTATTAGTCTGAACTAAAACCAGTTATTTTTAGATTTGGATGCTGAAGAAACTGCTTCTCCTACATTCTTCTGAGATTGATTTAAGCCCTTCTTGATTTACACTAGATCAGTGGAAACACTAGATCAGAGAAGAACTTGAACTGGGCAATAAGCTGGACATGAGACAACCATATGACTCATATGGTAGAAGGGCTCAACCGTTCTGGGCTATATCAGAAGAAGTATCATATCAAAGAAACAGAAAGATTTATTCCCTTCTATTCTGAACTAATGAATAGAACTAGTGAAGTACTCTGTATGATTCTGACTTCCACATTTCCAAACTGATTTTGACAAATTAGAATAGGTTTAGAGAAAAGGGGAAAGATTATACAGAGACCTCATGAAAAGACTTGGGGGAGACACAATAAATGTGTTCAGGTAATAAGAAGAAGCTACAGGGAAGAGAGTTGTGAACTATTTTCCATGCGCACAGGAACTAATACCAAAAATAATGGTGGATAACAATAACAACTGAAATTCAGCCATGTTTTTAAAAATTCTACTGGTTTATGATACTAATCTAATTTCTTTCATGGGTTAATTTCAAAAGCAAATAGCCATCATAGGGAACAGCCCACCTCACATTGCCAATAATCGACTTTTGTTTAGCAATGGTGTGATACACATTCACATATTATCACTACTCAGGTAAATACCAGCAAATGGTCAGATTTCTGTAATCAAATTATAACTTTTTTATTAATTACAAAATGACATATTAAAAAGGGAGAGCTCCCTAATTGAAAAATACACATTTCACTGATTTATTTATTTATATACTGAAAACAGCCAGCCATCTCTGTAACTCAAATGTTAGCCATAAAAACTTGTATCCACAAGCACAGTAATGAAATAGGCTAATTATAGCATATGTGCTTTTAATTTTTACCTTACTAAAACAGCAGTTGACTCTACAAAAATCACAAGTAAACTATCATCAGTTAGAAGTCCATTTATTCTCTGGTGCCCAAATCTTCACGCTTTAAGAAAATTGCTGTTGAAGAAGTGAATCTATTTCCTGATCATACATTGTGCTCCACTAATTTTTTCCTAAAGTTCATTTAATTATATGCAGTTGATTTCCCTCAAACTAATATTAACTATAGATATGTTGTGTTGGGCAATTTAAGCTTGTTCGAGTCAAAAAGAAAAAAAAAAGACCTTGTTAATGAAGGTTATTGGGAAAGCAACAGCTGTGGCTGTAGCTTTTCGCTTCCACCCACAAAGGAAAGCAGGAAGGCTGAGTCAGCTGTGTAGTTTGTGTTGCAAAATGCTCCAGAGGGCCCTACCATCTGGGATGGTATTTTATTGTTTTAATCATTTTTAATTATCTCAGTAATTTGGTAAACTACCCAGAGAACTTTGGTTATTAGCCAGATTAGAAATAAGCCAATCAATCAGCCAACTGAGCATACAATGCTCTGCTCCAACTGCTGAAACTCTGCTTTAGGAGGTGCAATGGCCAAATCTAGAAAAACAAAACTAATGGCAGAAGTTCTGAAAACAATGTTTCAGCCCTTTATCTTGGGGTGAAAAATCCACCCATAACATGGATAGTTGTCTTTATTGTGGGGACACAGTTTAAAGCCCCAGGACTGCATTTGGCCTTGAAGGCTTTGGGTGATCCCTCCTGAGCTCTTTCAGCTGAATTGCAATATTTAATATGAGAGTAGATTGACAATATTCAGTAGATGGGAAGTATAGCTGTGAATTCTAGTAAAAGTTTGTTGCAATTTAAATTAAATGTCTTTGTGAACTATTTTGAGATTTCCATTTACATAAAATAGTGTAGAAATGTTTTAAATAAACAAAGGAAGTAAGGAAAAGGATAGCTGCTTAATTATATGGGAGCCACGCTTGAGTTGTAGGCAGAAATTAGAGCTGAAACTATTTTTTTAAGGGGAGAACTAATCATACTCAAATCCCACTTTTAGTATTTACAGAGTGCTTCCATCTCCATTCCTGCTTTAGCTGGGTTGAACATAAAAGCCTAAGTTCTCTCAATCAAGACCTTAAGGCAGTGTTTCTCAACTCCAGCAACCTGAAAATGTGTGGACTTCAACTCCAATCTGCCAGTGTTGAGAAACACTGCTTTAAGATAATCATACACAATAAGGATGGATATAACATGAGTACTCCAATGTCCCTTACTGTTTTGTATTTGGCTATAACTAAGTATAATCATCAGTGTATTGAGGTCAGCATGAACAACTGTGTACCATAAGCATCTGGTTCATAGCACCATGATATAAAAACAACTATATGCATATTGCAATATCTGATACAAATAAGTAAGCCAGATCAGACAAGATAGCAATAAGAGTTGTATTGATTGGTTTTACAATGGCAGATTGCAAGCTGGGAACAAGAATCAAATCTGGATTAGGACCTAGGTATGGTAAGCAGAGAGTGGGAGGGTTTAAAACTTTGTTTTCCATTGTATTATTCACATGCCTGCAACTTGCCTTACTAAAACAAAAAACAAAAAAAAACTTGTTGGTGCTAATGGGAAGAGTAGCATAGAAACCTCATTTTTGAGATTAAATGTCTTCTAACTGCTCTTCACTCCATTACACAAAGTTCGAATTCAACTCAGATAGTGCTTCAGATACTTTGTTGTTGTTTAAAAGATTATTACACAACTGTCAATTGTATGATTGGCATCTTATTTAGTTAGGCCATCAAGGATGTGGAACAACAGGAAGCAAGTACAACAGAGTCCCCTTTCTAGGGAGAGGATAGATAGATAGATAGATAGATAGATAGATAGATAGATAGATAGATAGATAGATAGATAGATAGATAGATAGATAGATAGATAGATAGATAGACAGATAGACAGACAGACAGACAGACAGACAGACAGACAGACAGACAGACAGACAGACAGACAGACAGATAGAATCTATTCTGCTACAACATTTCTATGTTGTTTGCAGATCAAACTATTAAACCATTAAAAATGTTTAAAAATAGAGACATTGCAACAACTCAAAAAAACTAATCAGTAAAATTTAAAGTAGCCCACTGCCAAACAGATTGCTAGCAGAGTCCAAGACAGGAAAAGCTAGATCTCAGCAGGAAGCTGAGCTACTCCAGAGGGTTGAGGCATCAATAGAACAGAACTGCTTTCTGGCAGCCTTTTCATCTCCCAAATTGAAAGCACCCAGAACATGCCCATTTGAGCAGAATGGCCAGACTTACTAGAGTCCTGTAGGTGCCCTAGTCTCAACCTGTAGGGCTTTATAAGTTAAAAATAGCAATTTGAATTATATTTGGAAACCTCTTGGAAGCTAGTGCAGCATCCACAAATAAGTGTTATAGTGCTGAATTGCTTGTCCTCATAAGCAAGGTTACATTACAGTTGTACAAATGTATTAATTCTAATCTCAAAAAAACCCCTTCATTTTGCAAAAAGTGTTTTTGCTTTTCTTTCAGATGTAAGAAGCTTCAGGTGGCTGAGCAAATGAGACTGAGAAGAAAGAAGATAAAACCTTCTAGCACAATTTTAGAAGACTTGACTTGCATCCAGATATAGCCACACATGTTTTGATCCCTATAAAATCACATTCCATTTGATTTCCTTTGAGCTTTTATGCACATGCCAATCCTTAGGTGATGAAAATCAGCCTAGAGTGCATTTTAAGACATTTAGTTAGTAATGGCATCAGGAGTCTGAGTTTTGAAAGTCATACATTCATGTCTAGTTCTGTCATTAATGTTTTGGCTACATATGTTTAATCCACATTTGTTCTGCTGCAGTGCACAATCCTGCCAGTTTGGTCTAGAGCAGGCATGTCAAACTCGCGACATCACATGACGTTGCATGAAGTATCAGGACTTTTTCCCCATTGCTGACAATGGGGTGGGCATGGTTTCAGCATGACTCATCCGGCCCGTGGGCCAGCAGTTTGACATGCCTGGTCTAGAGGTTAAGGCACCAGGCTAGAAATAAGGAGACTGTGAGTTCCAGTTCTGCCTTAACTTCCTAATATGTTAGAAAACAAAAAGAAATTGCTGGCTGGTTCTGATTTTAAAATGAAAATACTTTGTATATCTTTATAAAAGCCCGTTGTTTCAGTATCTTTTTCATATCTTGTTTGAATTTGCAGGTATGGCCACCATGATAAATCAATACCTTGTTCTTGTAATTCAGTTTCCCTTCATTGTATATACTTTATATATCTTGCCTCACCTCACTTAAATATTATATTTAAAAACAGAAAATACTCTTAATAACCAAGGCCAGTTACAATTCCCACTGTCTACTATTTACTACTTTCTAAGGACTATTGGGAAAGTTTGGGACATATACAATAGTCCTGGGTTTTAGAATCAAGCTCAATTAAAAATAATATATAGCTGTTGGTGAGAAGCTCCTGTTCAGTAGAAAGTAATAATAGCCAAGCTAATGACACAAATTGAAAAACCTTTTTTAGGACAAACCAAAAGGACACAAAACCATGTTCAAGTCCTTTAGATGTCATCCTCAGCACGACGCTATAACAGTCATGAAATAGGAAAAAAAACAGAAATATTCAAAAGAATTATGGCAGATTTTACAACCATACAGCCTACAGTTCAAAGTCATTCTAATGTGAAGATGTGATGCTGTCTGAAAACACAAAAGCCTTCCATCTCCAATTTATCTCTTGCCTTGAGCGACATATTCAGGCTCCTTGGTCTGGAATAAAGCACACTTCTAAAATCATTATGGTCTTTGTCTGAGTAGAAAAATAATAGCAGAATACTTCAATTATCAATCAATCAATCAATCAGATTTCTATTTTGCTGATACATATATTCGGGGGAAAATTATACCTATTTTAATAGTAATATCCAAACTTGTCCAGAGTTCAATTATAAAAGATAACTAAAAGCTAAGATTGCTAAAACAGCACCATAATATTAAAAGAAGGCTAAAGTCTCTTAAGAGAGATAAAGGAAGATGTGACTGAGGGAATACTTTCAACAGCACATCATAAGAAAGAAGCCTGTTTCAGTGCCTGCAAACCCTATATAAAAAAATCAGATATAAGGTAATAAGAAATAAATTCTGTCCTTGGCCCTGGAAGTTACTGACCTTGAAATAGATTGTACTAGGATACTATTGGCTGATCAAATGTAAGAATATTTCTTAGGTTCTAAAATCAATGTTTACATTCATACATCCATGTATGTAATTTGTATTAAAAAAAAATTAAACAAGAAGATAAAAGCTAATAGAAACCAACAGAAGCAAGAAAGGAAAAAGAAAAGAAGAAAATATGATGAACATAAATGTTTTTAGTTTGTCAACGTTGGGCATATGCACACTGCTGTTGGCAATGGAGATATCGAGTTAAATTTTTAAAAATCAACCTCTTAATATTCTTTAAATCAGACATATCAAACTCGTGACGTCACGTGACGTCACGCAACGTATCGGAGCTTTTTCGCCATTGCCGGCAATGGGGTGGGCGCAGCTCCGGTATGATGAAACCGGCCCACAGGCCGGCAGTTTGATACCCCTGCTTTAAATTGTACCTTCAGATGTTGCTGAACTACAACTCCCAGCATCCATCATTACTGGTTGTAGCTCGTCCTTAAGGCCATTTGTTAAGTCCCCTCTTTGCCCTGTTTTAAATTGATAAAATGCTTCCAGTTACCAGCTCAAGGTTTATACCACAAGTTGGCTGCATAAATGATCTGTTTCAATCATTTTCACAGCCATGCACACATGGGAATAATTCTGAAAGCCATTACACTGTTGTAAAATGCACTATTACAACAGGTGCCAGACTGGGGAGGGGAGTTCTATATCTTTTTAAAATGTGAGCCAAGAGTGCAGATAATGAGATCCTTCTGTGTATCTTATGTATTCTGATACAGGCAGACAATAAGATACTCAGAAGTTTAGATATGGACAGGCAGCAAGATGTGAAGGCACCACAGGAAAGAACTAATGAAGAGGGCCCTTCACTAAAGATAAGAAAGCCATCAAATTTGCTATTTGCCTATTCTCGGATATTCAGGCAGCTCTTAAAAAGAAGCTATAGATTTAATTCTTTGGGGGGGATCTTTTTTTAGCCATAGGCATTATCAAAAACCGACAATGATTTTTTTCACATGGCTGGGTATAGGATTTAATGTTTCTTATCACTATGAGATAAAAAGAAAAGCTTCCCTCATCTCTTTTTTTAAATGAAATACATTTATTTTCCAGGGCCCCAATGTGAGACTTACAATGAATATATAATAGGCTTGTGCTGAATACTCATATCGTCAAAAATGTTATCTACAGATATTGCTTTGTTGTATTTTTTCCATTTGTAATGATGTTGCTCTTTCATTGGTAGCAAGCTTGGAGAAACTTTTCCCAATTTGATGGTGTCCCACTCTTCAAGGGAAGTTATTAGAGACTATAGTAAGTGGCACCAGAGAAAGCTTTGGAGAAAAGCAGCCTCTTCTCTTGAACCTGTGGATAGGTTAAAGGTTGACCCTACTCTCTGATAACTCTCTGTCTCCTACATGTTCAGCTGGGAGATCTGAAGGAGAAGTGATCTTATTTCCATTTTAATAAAGGCAACGTTCCTTATGCATTATTAAATCTTATGGAATTTTATTCCCATATTCAGACAAATAAGAGTGGCATTCTTTTTTTTTTTTTTTTAGATATCTTGATTGATTTTAGGTGGGGAGAGGGAGAAGATGAAGGTCTATCACAGCAACATCTGCTATCCACTTTCTAGTCCTCAGGCATTCAGATACATTGATTTTTCTAACGTACAAAAAAATTGAACATTTTAAGAAAGGAGAAACAGACACACATATGTATACATGTACATACATACATAAATACATACATACATATGCACACAAAAGAAAAAAAAGAAGTTACAAATCTGACAAAGTTATGATTTTTCTACCTTTGTAATGAATTAAAAGTACCTGAATATATTTGATTCCAAAAATCACTATTAAAATCTATGCAGAATGTGAATATCAAGAGATGCAAGTAACACAATATGGAGAATACAATAAAACTGTGAAATTACAAAATGTGATAAATTATTTTAAAGGAAAGTTTTTTCCTTTTAAATATTGATATTCGAAAAAAGGGGAAAAGGGAAAGAGGGAAAAAGATAAGAAATCTAACAAAGTAAAAAAAAACTAAACCGTATTAAAAACAACTTGCTTGCCAATTATATTCTTCCCTCTCATCTGTTAGTTACAACTAATATATTAGGAAATATTTATAATGTCTATTTGATTCTTTTATGCTATTTTGCAGAGATGAAAAGATTCAAGAAAATGGATTCTTTCTCTCTGCTATCTATTCTCCATCTATCTCTGACTTTTTTTCCTTTGCCTTCTTCCCAGTCCTGGAGTAATGCATTCGTAGAACATTATAGAACAGCCTTCATAGTTAAACAACAGATATTTGTACAAATGTCAAAAATCCAGATAGAAACTGGATTCTGGATGGCAAAAGATATTGGGGCTGAAGATTTGTTATCCAAGCTTGTGGGTTGGTTTCTGAACATTTCATTACCAGCCTAAATAACATCTTCAGTGGAGTATCCTAAATTCTGATGAAGATGTCACCTAGCCTGGTAATAAAATGTTCAGAAACCAGCCCACAAGCTCAGAGAATAAACCTTTACCCTCATCCTATACCCAAGCTACAGATATTTGCCACTATTGCAAAAGATATTGCCTAGGAAAGGGTTAAACAAGAGTGGGGAGGACCCCTCAGAGGCTTAACAGTCATAAGAATAAACTTAGGAAGGGCCAACCCTAATTGATTGAGTGGTTAAAAGTGATGGTGGTAGATTTGTACCTTCAGACTTGAAGGTATCTGTTAATGTTGCCTTACAATAAAGTAGAATCATCTAGTCAGGTTTCCTGTCTAATTTACCTAGGAAGTCTGACATATCTATGCTGTATAGCAGGGGTGTCAAACTTTGTGTTGCCGTGAAACGGATGCAGAAAGGCAGGGCTCTGCATTCCATACCCGATTTTGTCCTGCTAGGGGCCCTGAAAAAGGCCTAAAGTCACCCCGAAGAGGCAATGAAGAAGAAGGGATGCCTTGTTGATCACGGAGAGATGGTGGTCTTTTCATTCAATCCAAGGAAAGCCCTCTAAACAGGCAGGAGAAATACCAGTCACACCTCTGCAGCCGGCCATTAGCTGCTGACAACTGAAGAACAAAAAACTTCAATTAGCATATCATAAACAGCATGTTTGGATCTGGCTGAAAATATTGATCCTTTCTTTACTATTTTACAACTGAATTTCCTGGGAAAGGCTCCCAAGAAACTAAAACATCCAGATGTGAACGGAAGCAGCATTTTAATTTTTTTATGGGGGACAGAAATACACAATACTGAAGTGAAAATAATACAAAACTACAGTTTTGATAAATTTGAGAACTGAGAAAATTGTTAAGATTTTCTCTTTGAAAAAAAATCATTGAGGTGAAATATAAGAAACATAAGAAAACAACCCTTTGTTTTAAGAGTGGAAAATGGACTTTGAATGACATCTAGTGGTGGATTTGAGTACAGAACTATAACTAGCTCTTTGGCTGCTTGGTGACTTTCAGCTTAAGGTAGAACAGCTCACAATAAAGGAAAATATTTTGGCATATT